TTTTATATTGAAAAGTAGCCCTTGACCAAGGGCAGTGCGAAGATATAAAAGCAAGATGCAAGTACCTCAGAAATCGGAGAACATAAAAATCGGAAAATCTTTAGACCATTTTTTGAAAACTGGGCGGGAACTCTCCCCCCGCCCCCTTCGGTCTCGCCGACCCCCTCTTGACCTCCCCCTGGACCCAAGGGTGTGCCATGCAAATTTTGGCTGTTTTAGCTCTGACACGGACTGAATGCATAGAGAACAAACAAACAAACATACATACAAACAAACTTTCTTCTTTATATATATAGATATATATGAATGACATTTTTCCTGACATTTTGCTTCCATTGTACTTTTACTTCTTCTAATACAGTTTCTCTCGAAAAAGCTGTAAGTGTATGCAGTGGAATGCCAATTCTATCTCACTTTACATACAATTCTTTCTTGATAAGAGCAATTCAACGGTTACAGTTATTTTTGAAGAGAACTACCTGAAAGCTACAATGCTTTGAATTTGAACTAATGAGCAGTCCCAATTATTTTGAACTTGACCCGCCAGACAATTTCAGTTTTTAGAACTAAACTGGAACTGTCACAGGCCTAGATCCGGCCTGATCCGAAGTTAAAAATTTTTTCATGACCCGACCCATACTTGTTATAATTCAATCCGATCCGACCCGAGGTCAAGTATTTTTCCAGTGCCCCGACCCGTGGTCTGACCTGACCCGAGTCGGTCTCTGATCTGCTAAGGATAGATGACTGTTGTTCTCGATAATCGATGATCGATTCAATCTAATTCTAGATGTTTCAATCAAGAGAAACATTGCCGTTGACGAGGGAACGCAGTTCAATGACCGACACGAGCATACGAAAAAACAAGAAGAAAAAATCCAAAGAAACTCAAGAGAAAAAACCAGATCTATGTGTCGAAGTCGAACGTGCTCTTTCGAAAATAGTCGATGTGCCAATGCCCTGTCGTGACTCCATTGAACATGTGCTAGCACATTTCAATGGCGATATTGCACAATCGACTGGAGCGTTCAAAGATGGAGACGCAGCCAATATATTGGAATCGTGGTATCGAAAGACTACGAAAGAGCCAAAAAGAACGTGACACGACATTACCGCGAACGACATTACCGCGAATACAGAAAACGACATTACCGCGAATACAAACAACGACATTACAGTGAACGACGTTACCGCGAAGACTCGTTTATTGGAAAAGAAGAATAAATGAGCCTGGTTTTGTACTTTGTATATCATCTGGAGGGAGGTGGGAAGTAGGGAGAGGGCATTGTGAGAGTGAGTTCAAAAAGTATTTTCACATAAAACATATTATCGTGATGGTAAACTAGATATCTGTGTCTGTATCAGATAATGACTAGTCACCACATAACGTCAGTTAAGTTTGAAAACATGATGTACAAAATACAAAACCGGCCTCATTTATTCGGCTTTTCCAACAAACAAGTCTTCGCGGTAATGTCGTTCGCGGCAACGTCGTTCGCAGTAATGTCGCTGTACCTAATAAAAACTAATTTATTCTTCACATTATTTACTAAATTATTACATCTTTTTAATCTATAAGTGGTACTAAACCTGGAATAGATTCCTATTAAAAGGAGAAACTACGCAAATGGAGTTGGCTTACCGCGAGCATCAGCAATTTGATCCAGTTTCTATCGTATAGTAAGAAAATACATAATAGCATTATTAAATGCAGTTTTTCTTTAATCATATACAACAACCGATATAAATTCGGGATCATTACGTCGTATTCGTTTCATTACAGCCAAATATAATTTTTGTGCATGTATGTGATGTCCCATCACTCTGAACTAAAATAAAAGATGACTGATAGATTTGTTAAATCAAAAAAATTCTTACTAAGAATGAGCGATCATCAGTAATTAGCATTGAAATCATTAATTGTAGAAACTTTTTATATATAATTCTAGAAGAAACACGTAATGAATTTATGGATTACGTTCCATTTTACCTTTAAGGGGGCGAAGGAGGTTATAAAAATTCCTGAAATCTTTTGTTATTTCTATATTACAGGCCAGATTATAATTTATGAGACTGAAATCATTGACTTTTTCAATAGTTGAAAACTTCTGAGAATATTTTTTCTTCGGGTTTCTGACACCCTGAAACGAGTAAGCTCTAAGACATCAGACAAATATGATTCTCTTTCACCACTTCAAAACTGATATAGAAAAAGTTTTTCAGAGCATTCCACCGATAAAAGTGGGTGCACCATGGGCGGTCCAAACCGATCGAGGTCGATGAGGTGTGACTAGTTTTGTAAATCCTACTAGTTTTTTGGATGAAGGGCTGAACCTTTGATTCTTACGTCATTCGATCCGTCTTGAAGCGTAGAACAAAACTCTGGAGAGTTTGTTTTTTAAATATTTTCGTTGCTGAGATTTTCGACTTTTACTGGAACCGGTCGGAAACCCGGTCAAGATCGATCAGATGATTTTCGAATATACATGTGATACGTTTAATTCTATCTTTACGTGATGTTCTCACCATCATTTCTTAAGCAATTCAAGAAAATACTAAAAAGATGTTTAGCTTCAGGACTAAGCAATGTCGCATGAACATCTCTCTTCATACCTTAGAGTCTGAAAACTAAGTCACAATACCAATTTGATATCAAACTACTTCAAAGTACTAGGCTAATCATTAACGAAAACCAAGTTTTTCAGCCTTCAAAATGTAGTGCACGATTTCTTTTCGCTGCTAACTCGTTTTCCTGTTACTATTCTTCTCAAACACTGCTTTCAAGGTATACATCTATAATCTCTATCGCCAGACATGTATCTAAGCTGCACCATATACATCGATGGATCCTAACTCATCCATATCTAGATAAAAACATGGTATGGGTTTCTGTTGCGATGGTCATTCTAGCGGGCACTTATCCACACAATAATTGTGTCTCGATAGAGTGATAACATTTTAACTAGCTGTACCACCGCAAAAACAGCATATTACGCTGCTAAATACTGGGCGGACTCTTCTACTGCAGTATCGACATCTTCTTCTACAGTGTATCCCAAAAGTCCCCTCCTAAAAGATTTTCAGTATATTTTCACTATTTTATTTTACTATATCAAGTTTTTTCTGGTTTCCAACATTCTCCACCAGAATAATAGCTGAATGGATCAAGATTATCTCGAAGAGTACTACTAAATAATACACTTTGTTGAGGAATGATTGTATAATTACAGAAATAAACAGTGATACAACGTATAAGTAGATGAAACTAGTTGATCCTTGTTGTATCCATCATATTCAAGATAAATTGACGTAAGAGTAATGGTTGTCAACCATTACATATCGCGTTATATGGGGGTGGCCCGTTTGCCCGGATACCCTAATTCTTGTTTATCGTCCTGCTTCTATAAGACATCAGAAAAATATGATTCTCTTTCACCACTTGTAGTACTCGTATAATGCTAATGATCAGAATGGAACCTGTGGTGGACCATGGCTTTTTGATAAAAATCTCAGTAAGAATTCAACATCTCAGCACCAAAGGCCTAGGCAAGCATACCAAGATAGATTTTTTCCTTTCACAACAGGCGCTATCAACTGAATATAGTTTCAATCGAAGAGCGATTAAACGTTTGGGACGGTTCCCTCGTGAGTTGATGTACGGTGATCAGAAAAGATTCAAGGTGACGATTCCGAAATGGATTTTTTTATTGCAAGATATCAATGAGATTACAAAGCACTCAAGACACTGCAATGGCTGTGCATCCTTTTTCGAAGATTCTTTCATCAGTAGACAGAGAACACTTTGTTCTACTTATGGTCCAAAAATCAAATCTCTATTGCATAAGATGAATGAGAACGACAAAAAATAAAATGAATTTTTTTATTTTTGATCAGAATTATCCCGACGGACTCTATTTGGAAGAGAAGGTTCAATCTATGGATAAATGGTAGTTGAGCTAATCGTTTTCAGATAATCTTGATGCAAGAAACGTTTTCATTCCATTTATTAAGATCAAAGTGACAGCATTTTTTTATTGTCAAGACAAAGCGTGATCAGTTGCTTGTTGTTCTGGTTCTCTCAGTGCCTTTCGCACTTCCATCAACGTAATTCCTAATTGATTTCGACCCGTTCCATCTCCGCCATCTCCCCAATAAGAATCATTCGTCGTATGTTCCACTAAAACACGATCTCCAGTTGATAACAGTAATGATTTCAGTTTAGGATGCTGTTCAAACTTCGCCATGCATGCTTTCAACATCACACCATCTTTCACACCTGACCAATCTGAGCGTACGGCAGATTTGTAAGTTCGAACGTAGGAGAACGCCTCTCGAGGTGTGGCAAGTTGTAGAACACGTTTGTAATGATAATCATCCGAAACAAATTTTTGAGCTTGAAAATAATGTTCAGTGGTTGGCCAAGTAAATCCGTCCAGTTGGATAGGAGCCTGATAAAAGTTACTAAACTCACCGTACGGCTCGTTGCGACGATAGAAATGAATTGGTGCGCTCGAATCAGTTGCCATGATCATATGGTAATGCAAGACGGTGATCGGACGCGTTGCTTATTTTTGTCAAAACTCGTTCACGAAATGATTGCATTGTATAGTGACATTCTGTGTGCTTTATCGCTGCATGACGTTAGTAATTGAGACACATTGTGAAATAACACAGTAAATAGCGTCAACAAAGACATACTTCAGCAACAGAAAACGACAGACGTCATTCATTTTTGTCAACGCTTAGAGGATGTGGCAGTGCAACGAGATGACTGTTTTCATTTGATTCTATTTTTGATTCAGTTATTTGTAATTTATTCTCTGGATTTATTAATAATTGTTTATACTTTTTCATCGCATGGTCGCACGATGAATAAAAGTAGAGTTTAACATAACATGGATATTTTTTATTAGAATACTCAATGGAGAGTATACCAAGCTTTAACTGTCGCTATGTTTCAAACTGATTTGGTAATAATTGTTCACGGTCAATAACAATCATGTTTGGAAATTCAAACATTCGCTCTATATCTGATTGAATATTTGTAGTAAATGATAAACTTTATCATCTAGTAGAGCTCTTCTGCAGAACTACCAGTTGCTATATAGTGTAATCGTTCTATGTTCGTAGGATCCTTTGGAGTTGAATTCGATTTAAATATGTGAAGTGACATAAACTGATCGAGAATAAACGACAATAAGCCGTTTTTTCTATTTAGTGAAGACATATTTGTTTATAAGTTAAGAAATGTATAAAAAAACGAAGAAATTATGCAATTCTTATTTATTTGAATCGACAGCATGCATTTTTTTTTTTTTTTTTTTCACTTATGAGTAGAAAAAAAATCTTGAAAAAAGAAAAAGAAGTGATGCACGTTTCAAATATGCTAATAGCATTACATATATATGGATTTTTATTACTTTCCTCTTCCTTCTTTTACAATACAACATATTCAGAAAAGCTTGTCAAATCATCCATATGCTATATACTAATAGTTATTAAGTGTATGTACACAAGAAAAGTTTGCATTCATCCTTTTGTTTCAACTCATCATATTCATGCCACTGACTTGTAATATTTTAAGTCTGCAGGCATTTCGTATAATACGCCTGACAAACTTGGTCATCTATCTCAACATTTTGTCTTCATCAAATTTGATACGGTGTATTGTCCTGAGAATGTCAGTCATTTTCGATGCTATTGAATCTCACCGTGGTTCTGGTTACTATACGGCAGTAGAAATGTTAAATATATTGAATTATTTCTGTTTAAAGTCTCGAGTAGTTTAATTGCTGTTGAATGTGTATTAATTCAATGCCTCAATGTCAGTTTATACGCATCAAGAAAGTGATAATTTCTCACATCATTGTCACTGCTGTTTAAACTGTTTGAGTATTAAGCAATTTGTTGATATTTTGCTATAGGTTATCACCCATGACGGATCTAATGAGATGTGCACGAACATGTGCGGCACATGCGTGCGCTTATGCAATAAAAGTGCAAAAAAGCCATTTTTTGTGCTGTAGGGGCTCTTGAAAACTCGCTTAAAACCCATGAGAAACCTATCCTATCGACACAACCAGGATGGGGATAGGGCTTAAGCGAAAAACTTCTAAAGACCTTTTTCGAAAGAAGAGTATTTCTGGCAAACCACCCTGAATCTTCGAAACATTTATGTAGCATGTTTTTTACTTGGTTAGACTGTGTGTGGTTCCATATCTCAATCGGACTATGGAACATGAGATCCTACTGTTAAATAGTGCCTGATGTCTTTACTAAAACAAGAATCAGTTGACCTCTTATATTTTGTATTAGGACATGACAATGGATTTTCTTGGCAGCTCTAGAGGTGAAGCAACAGATGAATAGAAACCTCAGGTTAACGCCCACACTACATTTTGCCATATTCATCAACTGACTCCTAAATG